CCCCAAAACCCCAAAACCCCAAAACCCCAAAACCCCATCTAATTGGAAAAGTATCCTTTGAAGGTTAATGTAATTTCTAAAGATACATTCTTTGTCTTGAATCATGATATAATTTATTAATAAAATCAACTAAATTTCTTCAAATCTTCTAAGTGCCCAATAAAGAAAAACAATGAGTAGAAGACCATCTAAGACAGGCTAATACAAAGTAAACAATACAAAGAAAGTTGCCAAGGTAGTGGCAATTAATGTGAGTCCAATTTAGATTGATCACACCCCAGAGGACGTACAAAAGAGATCTATGATAGGAGCAGAATATATTGCCAAGCAGGGCAGAAACAAAAATGATCAGGCACAAATTGGAATATCTGACTTTAATGTAAGATGTAGATTAAGTAATTTTCTAGCCATTTGATCTGATTGAGTCTACTGACACAAGTAAGGGTGCACTGTTGAGAGATTCCTTAAATACCAGAGGTTCTAAGTCTTGTGCTCAGAGTCCTACCAGAGAACAGGACAAGTAATTTAGATGAGAAGTTGATAAATACCTGCATGGTTACTCAATGGTTATCTCAGACTCATCTAAAGAAGACATATTAAGACTAAACAATGCGAGTGAAGTTCTAAGTGACTATGCAAATCGAAAGCGAATGATTGATCGATATAATCTAGCCGGCAGTAACTTAGAGAATACAGAGGAAAACGGATTCGCCTAATATTAGGTCGGAATTAGGGATTCTTAGTCAGACATCTGTGCTGATCTCTAATAGGTTGAAGATTATTAAAAGTTTTATCAGACTAATATCTTTGAAGACGACTTAAGAAGAAGCAAGAGTTATGATAAGCATGATATCGAGGTGGAGTTCATAGAGAGTGGCTAGTACAGCATCAATTAAGAAAAAGGCAGACCTTCTGGTCCTTAGTACAATTTATTGCAAGGAGGAGGTGTAAGAGTACAAAAACTTGGGTCCCCAGTTAAACTATTTTCTCCAGCTAAAGGCAAAGGGAACTTTATGAGATCTAATTCATTGTACAAGCTTCAAAGAGTGCAGTAGGTTTACAACAACTCTGGCAAACCTACAAAGCCAGTTGCTATTCATCTAAAATTGAAAAAGAATTAAAAGCCATCTAAGTATCTAAAGACTGATACAAATGCTACTAATGTGATAAACTTTTACAGTTCAAACAAAAAGAGGTCAATGATTGAAAACAATACTAAACCATCTTGCTTGACATCTCAAGGTGATGAAGTTGATAGTTAAAACAAGAAAGTAAAGAGTCAGAAAAACAGCTTCAAAGGGAAAACTAAGGCAATGACCACTGGATACAAAACATCAGAGGGTACAGAGAGAACTGAGTAATCATGAACTGGCCCTCATAGTCCCTCAAACAACAAGTTTATGGATTTTGCTTAGACTGCTTACACTTTTGAGATGCAGAATATAATGAAGTAGTAGCATTTGACAAACCAGAACTAAAAGCATTCAAGAACAAGATTAAACTACATGAACGATACTCAGTTGGTCAATCTTGAGCAATGTCTGCCATAGATACAGTTGAAAATAGACTCTAAGTTCATTAATGGTGATTAGAACTATCAAACTTAGAACGTCTAAAGGCCACCGTTTCCAGTAACAAAGGGCACTCTGACTGGGCATCACTCAAAAGCTTAGCTATTCCTCGAGGAAAGAAATAACTCATAAGTCAATGTAAGAGCGCTGGCCAAGAACGATAGCAAACTAGCTTTCCAAATGATGGCTAAAGATGAACTCGTAAAAAGGAAATTTTTGGAAAATCAAGCCAAGATAGTTGGGTTGAAGGGAATGAATGTAGCTGCATAGGAAATATTCCCTAAAATCACTAAGAAAAGCACTAACTCATTCATCAAGAATGGTTGCTAGTTGCAAAAAGAGATCGAGGTATTCAAGCAAAAGATAGCCAATGGCAATGGAGTTTGGAATGGAAGCAAGAACCTCAAAGGGATTGTGACAGCTAAAGGGATCAAAGCAAAGAATGCTTTGACTGCTCAGATCAATCTACTCAGTAAGATCAAAGCATGAGTATTAAAAAGCCATTAATATAAGTCTTTAATTTCCTATCTTTTAAGGGAAATTATTAATATTCAAAATTTTGAAGTAGTTTTAAATATATTTTAGTCTCTGGGGTTTTGGGGTTTTGGGGTTTTGGGGTTTTGGGG